ACCATGTTGGCCAGATTGATTTCGAACCTCAAGTTGTCAGCCTGCCTTGGCGTCCCAAAGTGCCAGGATTACAGGTGTAAGCCACAGCACCCAACCTGAGAGGCCTCATTAGAGACTAGACTTCTCTGAAGGCATGGCAGTTGAAGGCAGGTAAATGGAGGGGACTTTGGAGAGCTCTGACTTGCCAGACTCTCCGAGTTTGGTGGCAGATGGAGCATTCGTCTGGCAGAACGTGTCTTTGTCCCAGTGCCTATTTCCAGCTGCGAACTTCGTCATCTCTGACGGCAGAAGGGGTAGTGCCCCTGAATGTGTTTCCCATTCTCCATCACTTGCCCCTCAGGCCTTGTCCCCCCAAAATCAACCTCCACTTGACAGCTTGGTAAGAGTGAGAATAGTGACTCAATTGCTTTTAATGTCTGAGGCAGATTCCAGGAGTAGTGGCTGACTGAGGAACCAAGAGGGGTTCGGGGTGGCTGGAGGGACAGAGGACTGCAAAAAGGAGAGACCAAGGGAAAAAGAGGGAAATGTAGGGACAGAAAGCAGGGAGCGTGTGAGGAAGAGAGAGGGGAGACTGAGGGACACAGGTAGAGAAGCTAGGGGCAGAGAGAGGGAGGGATCCAGGGGCCGAGACAGAGGGGACAGAGAGGAGACAGAAGTGGGGGACAGAGGGACAGAGAGGGAGGATGAATACAGCAGACAGAGAGAGACAGAGGGACAGAGGGGGACAGAGGGAGGGAGGATGAAGAGGGGACAGAGGGAGATGGGAGACAGACGGATGGGGAGATGGATGGATAGAGAGAGGGGTGGACAGAGGGACAGAGTGGGGACAGAAGGGCAGAGAGGGTGGGGTTATGGGCAGTAAGCTGTGCATGCCCCAGTGGGGTTCCAGATGGTGGACACCCTGGCTACTTTGACCAGTTCTGGCTTTTTTGCTGCCCCTCCAGTTTCTTTTTGTTCTCCTCTTCCTAAGGTTGCCAGGTAAAATACAGGATGCCCAGTTTCATTTGAATTTTAGATAAGCAACAACTCATATTGTAGCATACATATCGCCCAAATATTGCATGGGACATACTTACACTTTTAAAAAGTTTTTTTGAGATGGGGTTTCACTCTGTCACCCAGGCTGGAGTGCAGTGGTGTGATCTTGGCTCATTGCAACCTCTGCTTCCCAGGTTCAAGCAATTCTCCTGCTTCAGCCTCCCAGGTAGCTGGGATTACAGGCGCTTGCCACCACACCTGGCTAATTTTTGTATTTTTAGTAGAGATGGGAGATTTGCCATGTTGGCCAGGCTGGTCTCGAACTCCTGACCTAAGGTGATCTGCCTCCTTGGCCTCTCAAATTGTTGGGATTATAGGCATGAGCCACCGCGCCCAACCTAAGAATTTTTTTCGAATCTGAAATTCGGATGCCACTGGACACATGTATTTTTATTTGCTAAATCTTGGCAACATTATCTCCATCGCTGTGCAGTTTCTGCCTCTTTTCCATTTTCTGTTTGTGCATGCCTGCCTCTCCCTCTCTTCTAATTCATCTCCACCTTCTCTATTCTCCTTCCTCTGTTTTTTATTTTTATGTTATTTTTGGAGACAAAGTCTCACTCTGTCGCCAGACTGGAGCCCAATGGCTGGATCTCGGCTCACTGCAATCTCTGCCTCCAGGGATCAAGTGATCCTCCCACCTCAGCCTCCCAAGTAGCTGGGACTACAGGCACACACCACCACACCTGGCTAACATTTGTGTTTTCTGTAGAGATAAGGTTTTGCCATGTTGCCCAGGCCGGCCTCAAACTCCTGGGCTCACGAGATTCTCCCATCTCTTCCTCTCAAAGTGCTGGGATTATAGGCAGGAGCCACTGTGCCCAGCTTCTCCTTCCTCTCTTAATGATCTGAGACCTCCGATGTGCAGAGACGCCTCCTGAGACACCACCAGGTTCCTGGCTAGGCCTCTTTCTCCCTCCTTCCCCCCTCCCAGCCCTCTTTCTAGGGCTGTCTCTCTGCTCCAGGCAACTACTCTGTCTTCTTTCTTCATCTCTCTTCTCACTGAGGTCCCCCACCTTTGCAATTCACTCTACATCCCACTCACCCCCGCCCAGGGGAAAAAGCTGAGGGCTCTGAGGTAGCTAGGAATCTCCCATTACTCACCTTCATCCTGACCTCATCTCCTTTCCTTTCCATTTCCTGGGCCAGAGAGGTCATGAGGGTTTTTCAAAGCCACACAGCAGAACAGAAACACCCACTCTCTCCCTCCAAATCTCTTCCAACTTCTCAGCTTCTTGATGGAAAATTCCTCTACTCTTCCTGAAAATGACTTGGCTTGGCAATGTTTCTGAATACGAGGCAATGCTAGAGGGTCACAGGCCAGGACCAGAGGTGCCTGTGGCTCCTGGGATGGTAGACTTTTGAGCACCTACTACGTGCTGAGAGTGAGGGATATGGCCTGTGGGCTGTAAATGCAAGAACAGTAATGTGTTGTGAGCATCACCATATTCCTAGGCCCAGAACACAGTAGGTGTTCAATAAATCTGTTGAATGAATGAATGAATGAATGAATGAATGAATGAATGGACATACCCCCAGGAGTTGAAGCCTCATCTCTGTATCTGCCCTCCTTCTCTTCATCCCTATCGCTCTTACTTTATCCTAGCCTGAGTCCCCCTTCTCCTTCCATCCCCCTCTCTTGGGCTTGTTCTTCTCTGGAGTCACGTTATTATTTTTTCAGCTGGAGGGGTCTCTGATGACCACCATGTACTGAACATTTTCTCTGCGTCAGGTACTGAAGGCGTGATTCACATGTAGAATCCTTCTGGAATAGTCCAGAAGGTAAGTGCAGCTTTCTAGGGTATTTTCCAGATGTGGAGATTGAGAGCCAGGGAGAGGAAGCCAAGTGTCTTGGGTCACACCAGAATCCGAGCGTCTGGCCTTACCCCACCCAGCCTCCTTGGTCTGGTTTGTCATTATCTGCCCAGCTGCATCTTTGACACCTCCAAAATATAAGGCAATTACTTATCTCTTTTTCTTCTTTTTTGAGACAGGATCTTGCTCTGCTGCCCAGCTTGGAGTGCAGTGGTGCAATCACAGCTCACTGTAGCCTTGATCTCTCAGGCTCAAGTGATCCTCCTGCCTCAGCCTCCTGAATAGCTGTGACTACAGGCATGGAGCACCATACTTGGCTATTTTTTAAATATTTTGTAGAGACAGAGTCTCAAACTCCTGGGCTCAAGTGATTCTCCTGCCTCGGCTTCCCAAAGTGCTTGGATTACAGGTGTGAGCCACTGCACCTGGCCAGGCTGGTAATTTTTTTTTTTTTTTGAGATGGAGTCTTGCTGTGTTGCCCAGGCTGGAGTGCAGCGGTGCGATCTTGGCTCACTGCAGCCTCTGTCTCCTGGGTTCCAGTGATTCTCCTGCCTCAGCCTCCTGAGTAGCTGGGATTACAGGCACACACCACCACTTCCGGCTAATTTTTGTATTTTTAGTAGAGAGATGATTTCACAATATTGGCCAAGCTGGTCTCAAACTCCGGACCTCAACTAATCCACCCGCCTTGGCCTCCCAAAGTGCTGGGATTACAGGTGTGAGCCAACACACCTAGCCAGCCTAGTAATTCTAAATATTTGCTCAAGGGCTGCAAACGTCCAGAGCCTAGGCATGTGACATAAACGAGCAGTGCAGGTTGGGAAGAGGCTAAGCCTCTCTGCTCTGGGTGAGTGGCAGTGGTTACCCCAAGCCAGCCCATTAAGGGCAGGTAGCAATTGCAATCAGTGCTGTTACATGGCATTTCTCAAGAGGGTCTTGAAACCCATGTTTTCAGAAGTCTCCCAATGTTTGAATGCTGGCAACAAACCCACACAAAACACTGTTCTGGTCAGATGAAATTATGGGGACCGCACCTGCCTGTTGGCTGATGGTCTGCAACCTCTGAATGAATTTTAGTCCCATGCACCAGGTTTTGTGCCAAGAAGAATTTCTCGATTCCAGTAGACTGTGTCCTCCAAAAAGCCAGAGATGCCTGTGTCTGTTTTGCTCATTGCTTTATCTCCAGCACCTAGAACAGTGCCCTATGCATCACAGGTGTTCAGTAATCATTTTTAAAAAAGTGAATAGTGTATTGATCCAAGCATAAACCATGTGATGTAGAAATAACAATTTAAAAAAAAAATCCCCATTTTACAGATGGGGACATGAAGGCTCAGAGGAGCAAAGGACTCAGGGTAACATAGCAGCACTGGGCTCTAAACGCAGGACTCACCTGACTCAAAGGCCTCAACCCTGGCCTATCCTGATTCTACCTGGTGTTGTGTATTTGCAGGGCTGCGTGTGGGGATGTGTGTCCAGGAGCCTGTCTGTGAGACTGTGGCTCTTCGAATATGTGTAGTGGTTCTCCTGATTGGACACAGAGGCCCTGGAAG